CATAACAGAATAGCAATAAAATTTATGAAAACATGTCACTGTCACATAACAAGTCTGTTAGAAGATGTGTTTGTTGACTCCAATTGTACTTATATATTCAGTAATATTAATCAGCTTTCTACTAGTATTAGAAGAAATAAACAGAAAAAAAAAAATAAACCAACCTGAAATATCCTATAGGTGCCATAAATATTACATTTATGTATTTGTTTCAGTTCAAAAGGCAGAAATTAACAAAGACATTACTGACAAATTAGGTACCTATATGTTGCTTATAAACATGACCTATTTTGATACTTGAGACATCTTTGTTTCACTCCAATAGGCAGGATCTTTAAGTACATTAGTTTCCTTTATTGGAAATAAACTCACTATGCCAATGTTAACATCAGCCCTCCAACGCACGGTACAGAAATAGATACTGGAAAAGGTTTGTTTCAAAGCATCAGACTGGCCTACCATCCCAACCCAGTATGGCATCCCAGTCCGACGGAAGTTTCTACAAGGTCTAGGCCAGCATATCTGTCTCTTCATCCAGAAAAGTCATTCTGAGCAGACAACAGTTAATGCAAAAATGGACACAAATACACGCACAAGGACAACACACCTGCACAAGCTACCATTTTGTTTAGGTAATTACATCAATACTGTACTGAAGCGAAAGCTAGGGCTTTCTTTCCACTAAGAAGGCTATCACTGACCATGCACATACCCATCTTACAGCACAGTACCCTGACACTGATATGGAATACCATTAAACATATACCCTTGGAGAAATTCATCTTTATTTCTCCCATCTAACTTTCAAATAGCTCACCAAAATTAACAGCATAAGCAAATATTCTGCAGATTAGAGTTCACAATATTTAGCAACTCAATCTTCCTTTCACCTTACTTTCTGCTGATCCCAATATATTGCACAAATACAACTTATCTTGAGACTTTGTATCGTTCCAAGGTTAAAGACTGATTATTGAAATTGAAGTTTGCTGCTACTTTGCCAGAACTCATGAAAAGCTTCTAAACCCATGGCTTGCCTGCTTTCGCTTTTTCAATACCTGGCATAAAATTTATCAACTCTCTTTACAAATTTCATTAAATGAAATTAAATGCAGTTAATATGCATGTTCCATAACTTCCTGCATTCACTTATCTGAAGGGAGAACATGAACAGAACCAGTAGGATCTCATGCCAGATCACTAGTATATTGCCTGTAATAACACTCCTACCAAACTTAAATCTTTGTGCCAGGTTGCCAACTAAAAGAAAAAAAACACAACTATATTAAGGTAGCTGACACTTGACTTCAAGCTATGGAATGGCAGTTGTCAAACTACATATTATTTATGAATATTAAAAATGTTAGTTTTCTCAAAATGTTTCTACTTTGGTTGTTCACAAGATGAAATCTAGTATGACTTTTAACCAGCCAGTCCATACATTTGCAAATAAATCTTCAGAGGAAAGAAACATATGCCAAAAAATTGGAATTTTAGTACAAATAGCAATTTACAGTAAAATATGAAAATACTTAAACACAGATTTTTCTGTGCCTGTGTCCAATTTACAGCAATGACGTGATAAACAAGATGCAATATGGCAAATGTCAGGTTTTTGATGTATAAAAATATAAAACCATTTTCTATATCCAAAAATGGATCTGAAATTTTCCTGTAGGGTACAACTGAAAACAAGGGTTCCACCCTTTATATGGTCATTACAATGAAATACTATCTGATGAGTATCTGAAAATATTCGTTGAAACTGATTTATAGAACGTGTAATGTAATGTTCTGTAACATGATTATCTTCTTGCATATAATATTGTACAAGAGAATTGCAATTTCTTGCTTGCTAGCTTCTAAAGCTACAATTCAGCATAAGTATTTGTCAAAATCCCTACAGTAACATAAAATACTGTGCAGAATAAAGGTTTTGTGCCAATCTGCAATAATTTACTTTTTAGCCTGCAGAGCTATATGAGTATGAACTGACAACTTCACATTTTCAGATCACTTCTGTCAAATGTACCTTATGTTTCCCTAAATTTAATTTGGGATCCCTATTAGAACAGATTCTAGAAAATTTTTCATAATAGGTTGGGGAATTTGAATGTATAAATGTAAAACTTCTCAAACTCTTAGGAAGCAAAGGTTTTATCATGTGAAAACAAAATGTCCTTTTACACGTATTTTAAGTAAGGTATTTGGGGTACATGACCACAATGTCATTTGAGGATGCAAAATAAATTTATTCTCATAGCCACACTCCAAAAAAACATAGTTGTATGAATCATAGCATGTTATGAGAACCTTTTACTATCCATTTCAAGATAAATATAAATAACTAACATTTAAATATCTGATCATTTTGAAGAACCACACATACAGTTAATATTTTAGAGGAATATAAGGAAGAGCCATTTCTGTTTATGTCAGGTTTCAAGATTTCTAACGGTTGGTTTCTGATCTCTGGTGTTATTAAATTGTACTAGAGCACTCAAATAAACTATGATATTAAGTTTCTCAATCCTAATTTTAATACAGGCCAACAGAAAAATACATTTTCAAATATACTTAGATGTTTGCAGGGATCTTCACTGAGAAACTCACATTACAGAATCACAGAATCTCCATGGTTGGAAAGGACCTCTGAGATCACCGAGTCCAATCATACACACACAAAAGACCCCCACAATCTCGGCCACTAGAGCATGCCCTGAAGTGCCACATCTACACGCTTCAACTTTCATCATACGACTGATGGACAGAACACCATGCAGTCAAACGAGCCAGGCATGAACCACCCATTCCGTCACGGTGCCTCCAATTTTGTGACCATAGCGGAGAAATTTTGAGAGTGTCTCAAAACCTTCCAAATGTTAAATAGCATCCGACAATTTTGATGCTACAAAAAAGGAACAATTCTGTTGTTTGTTTTTTTTTTAACAAGCAGAAATAACCCCTGCAGAAATTGAAGAAGTGCTATATTTTAGCCACAGCATGGTTTTATACCCTTCACGAGCTTCATTTTAGCCACGAGTTGTGTCTTTTGTTCCAGTAATTTCTGTATCAGATTCTGTAACACACATTTTGAATATAGATCATTAAATGATTTTCTGATTTTAAAATGTACAGAACAATACTCTGCCTTCTTGATTCTCTTTCTACTCTGCAGGCCACCACTTCAGTATCTGAATGATTTCATGGGCTTTCCCGTAGAAAGAAGTAAGATTAGGGTAATTTTTCTTTGGTGTTTTCTTTTTAATTACTTCATCTAATAATTAGTTTTGTTCCAGCCTTTATTTGCATTTCATTTTACGTCCTGTTGCTCTGAATCAACTCTGACTCTGACATGACCTGTCAAAAACATTACATGTTTTTCCTCACTGCTTCCCTAAACTTTTGCTTGCTGAGTAGACCATTGTCTTGTTTCCATCTGGCTCTCAAAGTTAATTCATAATCCAGTGTCTTTTTCATGTACAAATAAATTCTGTAGGGTTTTTTCCCAGATAGCTCAACCCTTTAAAAATGAGTCTTACAGCTAATATTTTGAAGGTCTTTAGATCCAAGAAAGAAATGTTACAAGTGATGTAGCAATTCACAGCTTTTCAATCTCTTTACAGATCCAAATCATTATCTTAGCTTGTCTTCTATGCCAAAAATTACACAGCTCCACATGCTACTTTCTGCATACCCTTCCATTATGCTCACTGTGCTTTCCTGTCTCACGTGTCATTTCATGTAGCATTTCAGAGCTAACACTACGCGAGAGCTATCTACACTCCGTAAGTTTTGGCATGATGCAGGATTTTCTCGACTAAGTTCTTTGTCAAAGCTTTTAGCTTAGTTTTGAAACTGATCTCTTTGCCGGGGCTCCATCCCCCCAAATACCATACCATTCAGATGCTTTATCTTCATTTCTGTGCTCTGCCTGAAAGCGTATTACTGGTATGCTTCCCTTCTACTTGGACTGCAGTAAATTCAGTAATACAGTTTCATAGCTGGCCTCCTCTTGAGTTACTTGAAAATTGCTAAAAATATGAAGTGCTTCTTAAATAGGTTTTGTCAGAAATAATGTTGCTTTCTGTCTTCCTTTGCCAGACACTCATTATTATAGATATATAGGAAAGCGGCGTTTAAGCCTTTTCCAGCTGTCCTCCACGTTTCCAGAGTTTCAATATTTGGAGGACTTTTGACTGTTACATCTTTCCACTCATGTGGAGCAGTGGAGAGTGGAGTTTTTTGATTCATTTTGCTTCTGTTCTTCAGAAATTAGTCAGGGCAAAGGAGCCTGACAGTTTGGAGTTTCATTTCATTTCTAAATGAAGAGGATTACATTTATAAAACGAGACCAGACCGTCATCACGACTGTCACTACTGAGAGCTTCCCAAAGCACAATTCCTCCCACCTGGGCCGTGCTTCGTCTGAGCCGGGACGGTTCCAAGTTACCCTGGACCAGCCTGCGGGCTGCTTGGGCAACTAGGGCCACCAAAAAGCAGAGACGGCTCCAAACGGCCCGACAAGACGGGATCGGCGGCAGGAAGGCTGCGGGGGAAGCCGCCAGAAAGAGAAAGCAGCTGGGCAGAGTGGGGTGAAAGTCTCCTGTTTTATTAAAGCAAGGAAAATAATTTTGAACACCGACAGGAGCGTTAGGAGCGCGTGAGGCACGCGGTACCGCCTGAGGCGCCTGAGGCGGCCGGCAGGAGGGGGCCGCTGCCAGGCCCGCCCACGGCCCGCCCCGCCTCCCTCCGCCCCTCCCCGGTGAAGGCCCCGCAGCGGCACCTCCCTCCGGGCCCACCC